TGCTCAAACACCTATGATAAGGCTGTATTATTTAAATCAAATTAATGATTGAAGAAGCAAATAGCTCTCCGAGTATGAGTATGATTAAAGGCATAGATCGTCTTCTCAACAACATTGTAGTGTTCTATTTTTTGAACATTCTCGCGTTATGTTTGTTGCTGTCTTTCCTTCTCTAGTTTTCCATATCCTCTGAATAACACACAAAGCACAGCTGGAATTTTAAAACTGATGCATACAGAGAACCAAGTTCAACGTCTTGACGTGATGGTCCCCAAACATGGCGTGTGTTCTACTAATAACCATGCCGAGACTATTTATATATCACGAGGCAAATAAAATCGGCGAACATTTCATTTCATAGGTACCAACTATATTATTGTATTTTAACATCAAATCAACTAATCTTGTCACATATGCAACACGCACAATGTCCCCCACAAACCTCTCCTATAACCGCATTCTACTCAACATGCAGCGCATTTTGCTTCACCTCCTGCTCCTCGACCTTCCGCTCGAGGTCATGAGTCATATAGTCTTCCTTGCGAGTTCCAGGCACGATCCATGGCGCATTTGTGAACATTTGGTTCATTTCTTCAAGGGGCACGCGCTTTGTCTCCGGAAGCAAGAGCCAGAAGAAGAGCGCATTGGTGAAGTTACAGATGACGAATAAGAAGTAGTAGCGATACCCAATATTCGTCATCGCGATAGGTGTGACCTGACCAATCATCGTGTTGAAAGCGAACGAAATCATCGTGGCAATCGAAACACCCTTGGCACGTGTGCGAGTATCGAAAACTTCGGCCGGAATAATCCAGGACAGAGGACCGCAGGTTGCCGAGAAAGAGAAATTGTAGAGCCATGTCATGATAATGAAGCCCCAATGCGCGCCGGTGTTGGTGCTTGATGGAGGGAATTGTGCGAGCAGCACGGTCGCAACGATGAAGGTGACCATGTTGCCGAGATTACCGCCGATCAGAGTCCAGCGACGACCGAAGCGATCAATGTACATCATGCACAGGAACTGCGCGACCAGTGCGATGACGGAGTTGATTGCCTGATACTTCAATGTGTCTTCATTGGAGATACCGATTTGACCGTAAATCTGGGGTGAGTAGTATCTATGCACGAAGTCATGTCAGCGGATTGACCCTATGTTGATAATTGATAATTCATGGGGATGGTATAGCATTGTATCACTTACTGGATGGCTGATACACCAGTCATCTGGCCCGAGGCTTGCAATGCACAGCAAAGGAACAACCGACGGAACGAAGGGCGACTGGTGAACAACTCGATATAAGACTTCGCCTCATTCTCATGCTCGAATGTGATGCTCTCCTGGATTTGAGCGAATTCAGCCTGGACCCACGCATCGTTCTCGTCACCATGCGCATGCAGCTTGGCCAATGTGCGCAATCCCTCTTCGCTGCGGTTGTGATCGATGAGCCAGCGAGGTGACTGGATAAAAGTTAGTCGTTGGATTTGACGTGGTGGAAATCAGGACCTACTTCAGGGAAGAAAGAGATCAAAAGACCCAAGAACACCGCAGGAGCAACTTGCAGACCGAGAGGCAGTTGCCATTGCGCATTATTATCCCCTGAAAAGCCGGTGTACGTTCCATAGCCAATCCATCCAGCACAGAGCGCTCCAATACCCAGCATGAATTGCTGCAGGGCCGTAACTCGGCCGCGAATGCTGGGGTGACAGATCTCGGCTTGGTAGAGAGGAATCATCATGGTGAGGAAACCGACGCTAAGAGTCAAGATGATTAGTGTTTGTTTGGGTATCTGGTTCTGGGAGACATCACGTACCCTAACCCGGCCAGGAATCGTCCACTGTATAGATAGGCAATTGATCTCGCACCCGTCTGAAGACCACCTCCGAGAGTGAAAATGAGACATCCCAGTGAGATGGTCCGTCGTCTACCTAAATAATCACCACTAGGACCTGCAAAGCCGGCACCAACGCATGCGCCAGCCGTGAAGAGAGACACGACTAATCCCCTGCAACATTGTTAGAGACTTCCATACTCCATATCGTTTGCGAGACTGACGTTTGGGTATCATCTGCCTCAAACTTGGCTTTAAATGATTCACAGACGAGAACCTCGGCAATAACACCCAGATCATCTGCGACTGAATTAGATTCCGCGTGTCAAGAATGGAGGTTGAAGACATACATCCATAAAGGAATGATCCAAGAGAGGCGAAGACGCCGACCAGGAACTATATGAAAACATGAGCTCAGTCTTCTTAACGGGATTGTCCCTTCATACCTGGTACCATGCTGGCGAGAGACGCATGGTTTTGGAGACGTGGATATTTGATAAAATAATATGGGGATGACGATCTACCTCCACATGGCACTCTTTCTCCGGGGAAACTTCTCTACATATACAGAGGAACCCAAATACACATGAACCCCAAAGGGGCAATTTGCCATGACTCCGGAGAACCGTATACTCTAGAGGGGAGTCAAGGCTAAAACTGCACTAACATCGCGTGGTGTAAACGGGGCAAATTCCGAACACCATCTCCACTCACTTCCGATATTTTTTATTCCGCTAAAAATGGTCTGTGATGACAAGTTCTAAGTATGCGGGGAGGAGTTGGCAAAGAAATGTGGCGCGGGATCTCACCTGTGATTGACGGAAGATCTCCCACATTTCTCCCATGTTGGAGATGTCGTGAGGCTAGACTGCCGACTCATTGGTCTATTGGTCTATCTTTAATACAGGAATCGAACTAAGGGCTTTGCATCGTTTTTCCGGTAGCCAATCTACACGCTACTAGGGCTAATACAGGGGTCATCGCCCGGATGTCTCGACGTTTCCCCCGCAGGAGTTTTGCCGCTTCAAGGCCCGAGACATCGGTTATTTTCATAAATCACCTGTGATCAAAGTACGTTTCGCTTCTTTAATTGTCGTCTTTGAATCGCGCCCTTCAAACCTTAACAAGGACACCTTTTCCCTAAACTGAATCGCGACTTTGGATCAGTTAAATCGCCTATTTAGCCAGAGTGACGCCTCCAACATAAACAGTAGAAACAAACATTTCCATTCGTAAAGATGACGACCTTTACCAAATTGGAGGATCATGAGACGCCTCTCATCTCCGTGCACCCATCGAGGCGCATTTCCAAGATCAACCCGAACATCTATGCCGGCTTTACCGAGTAAGGCATCTTGAACTTGTTCCAGTTTGATGACATGTGCTAACTAGTTCCGCAGGCACATGGGTCGGTGCATCTATGGTGGCATTTATGACCCCGGAAACCCGCTCTCAGACGAGAAGGGATTCCGCAAAGACGTCCTGGAGGCGTTGAAGGGGCTCAACATCCCTGTCGTTCGGTATCCCGGCGGCAATTTCTGTGCCACCTATCACTGGCTCGATGGCGTTGGTCCTAAGGATCAACGGCCAGCACGGTATGATTACTTCTCATGTCACCTTCATTCTACCAAAACTTGCTAACGTTGACCTACCAAAAGACCCGAGCTTGCTTGGCTCGGAACCGAGACAAACCAATTCGGAACTGACGAGTTCATGCAATGGTGTGAGGCTCTAGGCACGGAGCCGTACCTTTGCTTCAACTTTGGTACCGGTACCCTGGATGAAGGTATGTCTTTATTTACGCTTCTTTTGACACGAAATCATGCTGATGTTGGGCCGTCTTAGCTCTGGGCTGGGTTGAGTACTGCAATGGAACTGGCAACACTTACTATGCCAACCTGCGAAGAAAGAATGGCCGTGAAGAGCCTTACAATGTATGTTCAGATAAGCAGCGCAATATTTTGAACTACAATCATTCTAACAACATAAACAGGTCAAGTACTGGGCTCTCGGAAACGAGTGCTGGGGCCCATGGCAGGTGGAGCAAATGACCAAAGAAGCTTATGCTCACAAGGCGATTCAATGGGCGAAAGGTATGGCTGCATTTCATTACCAGTAGAAATATCCCGCTAATATGACTTTCACAGCTCTCAAACTCCTGGATCCCACCCTGATCTTGATCCTTTGCGGCCAAGATGGCACTGCATCATGGGATTACTACACACTAAACCAGTGTCTTGTTCCAGCTCATTCTGCATTGTCAACCAGCTCAGTCCCATTGATTGACATGCACAGTATCCATCTCTACACATCCTCATCATCCCACCTGCACAATGTGACAGCACCACTGGCAGCCGAGCGCGCAATTGAAATCACATCCGCCCTGATCGATCTCGCCAGAGTCGAGAACCAAGTTCCCCCCGAGCAACTTCGCCCGACAATCTGCTTCGACGAGTGGAATGTCTGGGATCCCATCCGTGCAGAGGGAAGCCAAGGCGCCGAAGAGAATTACACACTCTCCGACGCGCTCGCCGTCTCCGCATGGTTGAACGTCTTCGTCCGAAAGAGCAAGGATGTCAGCATGGCGTGTATTGCGCAGACCGTGAACGTCATTTCGCCCTTGATGACTACCCCGGAGGGAATTACCAAGCAGACTACCTGGTGGCCGCTTTGGCTTTTCTCGCGCTACATGCGCGGCTGGACCGTTGCTAGTCACGTTTCCTGTGGAACATACGAGGGTGAGACGACTCCTAAGTGGATTCGAAGTGCCAAGGATACGCCCTGGTTAGATGTCAGTGCCACTGTTGGAGATGATGGATTTGTTAATGTTGCGGTGGTGAATATTCATGACACTCAAGATTTGGAAAGTCGTGTGGAGGGAGCTCACGGAGAAGTGTCTGTGTTCACAGTCACTGCGACCGATTTGTCCGCGACGAATATGAACGGCAAGGAAGAAGTGGCCATCCAGGAGTCGACCTGGAATGGAAGTGGGTCGTATGTGTTCCCGCGACACTCGCTTACTCTCCTGAGATGGAAGGCTGAGTGAGTAAACCTATATGAGATAGTATCATGAGGACAGAAATAGACTTTCAAGCAATAGATATTCAATCGGTTCAATTTGGTCTTGTGGTTTGATCCTGGACTACCAGGTCTAGTAGATATATCTTAGCTCTAACCGGAGTTCACGTCATGGACAACCCCATCCTCATTAACATGGATATTCAGTCTAAGTCGAATCGTACACCGTCAGCAATATATTCATTGGCTTGATAGCACTTTGCGGCTTTACCTGTTCGGGTTATGGTCCATTGTCTTCATGTCACCTGGCTTCAATACCCGGTGAGTTTCAGGGAGATCTTTCTTTGCGAAGGACTAGCGAAGAGTTAGAAATTCACGTTTGATTCCAACAATTCAGTAAAGGTGACATACTGTCTCATTACTAGTGTCGCTAATCTTCTTGCCCATCAGCTTGTTGACCCACTCGGACTTGTCGCCGAATGAGGAGTTGATTCCTGGAACAACGAGTGGCATATTGAGTAGTTCAAAGTAGGCAATATATTCAAATAAAGAGACGTGTAAAAGGAAGAGGAAAAGTGAGGTTTGTCGCGGATATAACCTATCTCTCATCGATGACGTAGTCTCCAGATTGGGACTAGCGTCTTATCATCGAGGCACCTCTCAAGTTATCACTTCCCTTATTGGCCTCAACATAGAAATGATATCAAGCTGGAGGAATTCCAAGATTCAAAACAATATGTCCCTATTCGATAGATCTCATAGGGATTCGCGTTAAGGATAGCGTATGAAAAGACCGGAGATACCGAATGCTGAGTCATAACCTGACGCGGGGTGTCAAGGTGCCGAAGGCACTCCGACAAGATTCGACAGAATATAATATGTACTGGCGTTCGAGTGGCATATCAGTCGATACGACTGCCACTCTTGGAAGTTAAGGTACAACTTCAATCATACCTAGGTAGTAATAGGCGGATGAGTTCTTCACAATCCAGTTGAACCTCCCCATGTCGACCAATCAGATCAGGTTAACCCCATACTTGTAGATATGGCCTCGGCCATCAATTGTTTCCACTTACTTTGGACTCGAAGGTAAGGGAGGAACCTGAAATTCTGTCCTGGGGTATGTAGAGCTGACTGTCAATAGAATGGAAATTCTCAGAATGACCTCCATATATATTGTAGTAGTTCAACATTACCTAAACTGTTGCACTCCCCCAGAAAGTCCTGGACCTGATGAAAGAGCCGTAATCATTGGAATTGATCGTTAGAAGCAGAAACACTTCCTTGGCGTGAGCGCATAACTATGCATAAACATATAACGATGAAGATTATCCATGTGATCATGTCATGTATGGCCAGCAAACTCCTTATCTAGGGACTTAAGATCTAGACAAGTTAACTCCGTGTTTGAACTGCGATCTCGGCTAGCATTCTATAGGCTTACCTAGCGGGTTTTGTCAACATCATATTGCGATTCTCACGGACCATCTTGCGCAATACTGGCGCAATACCTAGTTCCCGTACTAGTATTCATTGATGCGACCGAAGGAGTAGCGCTTACTTGAATTAGTAGGGAAATCCATGTGAAACATATGATCTGACACGGAAGGATATGGTTATCGAATATAGTTATCGACTTGCGTGCTAAGACGCAATCGCGTACCATCTTGCGTCATGCATTGATGCCAAATCAACCAGGAGATGCTCCAATACTGAAGTATTAAAAGAAGATCGACCTTCCAGCTGAGAAACAAAATAGTACTTGACAAAAAACCTAAGAATATCAAAAGGTTAAGAAAAAAGTCAATATGGCGGAATTCATCAGCCTCACGTTCCCGAACGCATCTACCGAGCTCAATCCAATTCCCAAGGCTAAGATTGATCCTGAGTATCTTGTTAGATACGCTCGCAACCTTGATGATTACGGTTACAACTACACCCTGGTTCCCTATGGCTCCTCATCATATGATCCATTCACCATCGGAGCCACCATTCTCTCCGTGACCAAAAACATCAAGGTTATTATTGCTCTGCGACCCAACACGCTGTACCCCACAGTTGCAGCAAAGTCGCTAGCTACCCTGGACCAACTCAGCGGTGGTCGTGTCGTTGTTCACTTCATCGCAGGTGGAAATGACGCCGAACAGGCCAAGGAAGGGGACTTCCTGAGCAAGGATGAACGCTACGGCCGCCTTGAAGATTATATTAAGATTCTCCGTCGTGCATGGAAGTCTGATGAGCCATTTGACTGGGACAGCAAATACTACACCTTCAAACAATTCAGCAATCAAGTCCGCCTGACCGGCGACTCAATTCCCGTCTCCGTCGGCGGTTCATCGGACGAAGCGTACCGTGTTGGAGGCTCTCTGGCTGATATCTTCGGCCTTTGGGGTGAACCTTTGAAAGAAACCAAGAACCAGATTGATCGCATCTATGCCGAGGCAGCAAAGGCCGGTCGCCCGGAGTCCGACAGACCTCGCATCTGGGTCACCTTCCGTCCTATTGTCGCAGAGACTGAAGAACTCGCATGGGCCAAGGCACACAACACCCTCGATGCACTGACTGCCAACCGCGCGAATGGGCAAGGCAAGGCCCCCCCGAATGCGCCGCCCCCACAGAACTCAGGCTCTCAGCGTCTTCTTGACATTGCCGCTCGTGGGGAGGTCCAGGATCGCGCGCTTTGGTATCCTACTGTTACCGCAACAAATGCACAGGGTGCATCCACTGCCTTGGTTGGATCGCCGAAGACTATCGTCGATTCCCTGTTGGACTACGTTGATCTCGGCGCCGACCTCATTTCTATCCGAGGCTACGATAACCTCAATGATGCCATTGATTATGGACGGTTGATTCTTCCTAAAGTTCGGGAAATTTTGAAGGAACGGGAGAATGGTGCCTCAAACTAAATAACGAATGTGAGAACTAGTCTTAGTATATATTATCACAACTTATTGCATATATGGGATAATACCCTGCACTTAAGACCTTTCTCTTTCCGCTTCAAGTAGAATACTGTCGGCACCTATTTTTGAATCTTTCGTTGGACAATGTCCGGAGATATGTGGTATTTTACACAGTTCTATGCCCAGAGGTGTAAAGTCAGTTTCAATAAGAGATTCGTTATGATTAAGAGAACAACTTCAAAGTTAAAAAAAATTAAGAAAATGGAAAGCATGACAGTAAAATTAAATAGATACAGCCTTACATCTCTAACAAAACTATACTTAGAATTATATCTAAATCCTAAATGGTCATATGATCTTCTTTTTGTGTCAATGATTGCGGGTACGTGACCCCTTGAGTACTGCTTTCTAGGTGGTATTGAAGTGCTTATGGTCCGACCTCTGGCATACTATAAGGAGAGATGTGACAGGAATGTCTACATGCGTGGTGGAGTGTGAGATAACTAAGTAGTTGGATAGTTGACAAAGCAAAGTTGCAAAACCAAGAAATTTTATGAACACACTTGGACAGCATCATTTCAACACATCAAACAAGTAGGATCCAAGAAAAAGGCAGGGTGGAGTATGGGACGAGCTTTCAAATTAGCACTAGAGGAGCAACATACTATATATCGAGCGAACATCCCCAAATTGTTTGATGAGTCGATAGATACACGGATCATCTCGACTCGGGCCTCGTAGTCAGATGTAGTAGGCAACGAGCAATATAGATGACGCCCAGTGAAGCAAAACCCAGCTGAAACATAGCCATTTGGCTGTGTTCCACTGGTACAGTCAAATATAAAAGGGCCTTGAGTTTGTGACGGCGGATTCGGTGATTTAAGTAGTTTCACAATATATCCGAGTTCTCGAATCGTCAAGGAGGCACAATGACATATATCAACCACACCCATATCCCTTACGCAAGACCTTTGTAAAGCTGGATCTACGAGTGAATACTTACAAAACTCCTTTGGTGGATGGAGTACGAAACACCTTCCGCAATATACTCAGGAGAGACTCTGAAGTCGAAGAAGTAGTTGGCTTCGCGCCACCTTATCACTAGTCACACATAGTAGAGGGAATCGAAAGTGTAGACTTCGTGGGAATTTAAATTCCTTTTCTTTCAAGATCGTAGCGAAAAGGCCGAAAAATCGGTTGCAGGTAAGAGATAGGCATGCTTTATCTACCAAGGGAAGGTATTTGTAGATATCGTATAGCACACTCTCCTGTAGATAAAGTATCCCAGGGCCCTTTCTTGTAAACCAGAATATAACAGATAAGACGGAGGTGATTTTTAACATTGGTTGCTTCTCATTTCGGTTGTTCTGAGAAGCGACAGCCAGTCCCCAACCGTGTCCCCAGTATGCAATCTTCTTCCCGCCTCCTAATAGACAACGGGATTCCTCATCGTCATCAGGATGGCTCTGGATTAAACGAGGTAGTATGCTAGGCAATTTTCGGCGTAGCTTCATCATTGAATCTCAGTCCGGATAATGGCATTGAAAAGGCTTGGATTGTAGCTTGAGTATAATGTATATAGGATGCCTGCGTAGGAAAACTCCAAGAATCAGGAGAGAAGCTCGATAACCAAGGTCTCATGGCCATGACGTTATATTTACAAGGTCTTTTGAAGCCGATATCCATTCCGTCGATGAATGTCTAAGGCTCCCATGAAATCCTAAATTCCTCGAACGGGTTAAGTGGCAAGCCTAATTCACCATAGAAACCATATTACTATGGCACGGATAGAATTTATACTGATAAATGGGATGCCCGGATATCCACAGGAAGCAATTAAATCCCAGTTAGTATTCCATTGGTTCTGGATTACATGAGCATGCCTGATTTTGTAGGAATGATGCCTTGATATGCCTAAATTATGGACTGTTTTCGACACCGCTCTATACCGTATACTTGTAAGTTGTAGCTATTCCTAGTTATACATACCATACATAATAACGTATTTCACCCCATAGCTGGACACCCCAAAACACCATAGTAAATCCGATAAATTACAACTTGATATCTTAACAAAGGTACTCTATCTAGAAATTTCGTAATAGCTTAATGCTTTTTAGGTGATATCTAGCCTCTTCAAGGACTTTAGAAAATCTATACGACTTTATGATTGAGATATATATATTTCTAGCTTTAAGCGACGTAATTTTCAATACTATGATAATATAGCTTTTCGATTTACTTAGAACTGATATATAATGTTTAAAAGTCTTATCGATAGCTATCAGATGATAATGAAATCAAATAGTAACGTGATGGCTAAGATATAAGGTTGTAAAATATCGCATTTACTATGGTGTTTTGGGGTGTCTAGCTATGGGGTGTGTGTGCTACGGGGTGAAATACGTTAGTTGGCTGGTGATACGGCCTTGTCATGTCTTTTTAGATGATATGTTCAGATATATTTTTGGCTAGTCATTTTAGATGTTCTTTTTAGTTGTCTTTTTAGGTATATACAAAGGCGGCAAAAAAGCACACTTTGTGTAAGAAACTTTGAGATCTCTATATTCCTCAAAATTAAAGCTATTTCCATCTCACAAATCATCAGTTTCTTCGATTCCCCAACATCAAAAACCGTCCCGAACCGCGCAAAATGCCTCCTTATATAAATCTCGACAGGAAAGATTTGGTCGGTCGCAATAGCTTCAACAGCTAGAAATAGGCGCATACGGTGATTTATATGGTAGGAATAGCTTCATTCTTATGAACTACCTAACTAAGCCCACGAGTGAATAATTTGCTTATTAAGCCATATGTTATAATTCAGGTAACTATTCTGATTTCTGCCAGTATATGTAAAACAAGGCATAATTCAAGCATATTCAAGCACCAGGCCTACAAAATCAAGCATTTGACCTTTGGCCGCTCTGGCCCTTCGTAGAAAAGAACGAAAACAAAATGGGAAAGTGATATTATCACTCCTATGCAAATATCTTGGGTCACACGGGCTTTATAAAACAATCGGACTCTTGAGGTATCCATTTCATCGCTCATTTATAGTTCTCTTCATTTCTCTACTATACCCTAGTGAACGTGAGTATGAAATCAACTCAAATGCACAGTAATATCTTCCAGGAATCCTATAACTATAGTTTATTGAAACATAGCCTCAACGGTGCAGGTGCAAGAGTAAAGTGCTCCTTCAATCCCTGATCAAACTCATTTAAGCTCACCCCCGGGGCTAAACTGACATCATAGTCAATAAGGATACGGGCAACTGTTGCTCGAATATTCAATAACGCCAAGGGTCGGGCAATGCAGCCGTAGGGCCCTGCAGAAAATGGCGCAAAGGCTGACGCGTCTTGCATCAAATCAGGACGCGAATACCATCTCTCGGGAATGAATTCTTTAGGTTTGGGGTAGCACTCGGGATCTAGTCAAGAGTATACGTTAGCGAAATAAACTTGAAATTAGAGAACAAATTTTTCGTACTCCGACCGAGGACATATTGCGGACAATACAGGGTTGTGTTTCCAGGAATAAATGTTCCGTCTATTATCAGACCTTCTGGCGGGGTTACACGGGGAAGTGCCGATGGAACCGGGGGGTAGAGCCTAAGTGCCTCGTTAATAACACCATTCAGATGCTTCAGCTCGGCCAAATCTGAGGGCTGGTAGTCGCCAAGTTCCATTCGTGGCAAATTCTTAAATTCGGTACGGAGCACATCGACATGCTGTGGGTGCTCGACCAAGAATCGGAATATATGTATCAATGTAGCAGATGTGGTATCACTAGAGTCTCCTTTATCAGATTATGGAATATCTTACGATGGTGCAGTGAAGGCAAGTCACCCACCTTCCTGCAACAACAATGAGTTGGGAGACTCCTTGGAGCAACATATAGTCAAGTCCGGTAGGAGTTTTGTTGTTCAAAGGTTTTAAGAGGCAGCTCATGATATCGGGAGTACTTGACTTCATCTGTGGTCTACTGTGAGAAAACTCGGTGAAGTTGCATGCTGATTTAACTCACCTTTATACGTTCTTCCATTTGCGAGGTGCAGTAACTGATGAATTTCCACCAGTCCCGCGCGATTCCAGGAATCCCCGTCATTAACCGAAAGAACCACACGGGAAGCATGTAGGCCAAAGGTGTCAATCCCGAGTTGAGTAGTCTGAGAGCCTCATGTTCTTTGCTTGTCTCGAGCATATCAAATGAAGCACCAAACGCGAGATCACCCATCACGTCAAATGTGTATAGATTGAACCACTTGGTCATGTCAAGTGGTTGATTCTTAGACTCGTCAATGGCTTTCACTAGGAGAGCTCGATACCGCACCGTGCGCATTTCGTAGTCCCGCATATTCCTGTCCCCAAAGGCCCCGCTCCAAATGCGACGTCTCTGGTCGTGTAGGGATTTGTCCCGAGTGCTCTGCAGCGAGACCATGGGGTGTCCCAAGTCATACCAAGGTGCCTTCCGACATTTTGAGCCAGGGCCGTAGATAGCTTGCACGGCTTTTGGATGAGCCACTGATATGTCGTTCGAACCGATTCGCAGGAAGGGCCCATATCTAGAATGTAGATTTTCCAGTTGGCGGAATGCATCCTGATTTGCTAAATATGTTGTAAACCAAGAGCTAAAGATGCGGCATCCCAGAGGACCCGGGATATTGCGAAGAGGGTGGAATATACACCGGTAGACAATCAGGCTGGCGTAAATCCCGGCCAGGTAGCACACCGCAAGTGAGGATGACCAGATAACAGACTCCAAAATCAGCCTATCCGAGAACTGACTGTGTAGAAATATCGAACACATCAAACTTCCAACGGCAGTTAAGGCGTAGCGCCTGCCGTATAGGTGATGTTCTCCGATACGAAAAAATGCGAGATGGGAGAATACACCGGCCACCCAAGCCATGGCGGGTATTACTGGAACCATCATGTCTCTCCTAGGAGTTTTTCACAAACGTAAACAGAGTAAATCAGAGTGTGAGGGGCAACAGTATACTATTCTCTGATGGGGAAAGCTCGTTACCGGTCCATATATTATGGACTTTCAGCTGGCCTATTGTGATATCCCTCCTTGCAGAAGAGGGGTCAGCACCAACCGTAGGTGGCTTGAATAGCGCTTATTGAAGACAGCATTGGTTAACAACTGAGCTGGCACATGACACGTCGACTTGTTCCCTTTTTTAAAAAAAAAATTACTACCCATATCTCGCTTACTTCCCTATAAAGTCTTAATCTTCCTTTTATATTTATATAAAAGTAATTATGTTTTATGCTGACGACTACCAGTGGCCTGTCGAACTACTGCTATTATAATGATGGTACCTGCTGGGCAACGTCGAGTCATGACTGCAACCCAACCTCGAACAAGCGACTCAATCCATGCCCAGTGGGAGATCCCCTCGCGGCTAGGCAAGACTAACCGCGGAGCACGAATCTAAACGTTTTGGAGGATCTTCCGTCCCGAAGTTCGCATGTGATGATGATTAAGGAATAGGGTACAGACGTGATCATGTAGCATACGGGGTAGCTGAAGTACCGTACTTAGGTAGTTACATATACTAGGTCACGCGGAAATCCACTATTATAACGTTTGGTTCGGTTTCTGGTGCCTTAATGAGATTTTCAATGCGATTTTCTTATGGGATGACTACAGAAGGAAATATCTATCAGAGAAAGACTGTGTAGCATTCCATAGGCACGAAGTGGAGGGGGGGGAGAAAGGAGAAAGAGAGAGGAAGTGCTCAGACGTACAGCGCTCAGGGTTCAAGCCCCCTTTTAGGAAGATGTTGACACCTGAATGCCCCGTTTTTGCACCGCAGAAAAATTAAAGTACCCGTACAAATGCCCTAATAATCAAAGTACTCTGCCCGGTTCTGCTAGCGTTGCAAGAATATAAAGCTTTTCACACCATACAAATGCATACATCTCTAGTTTTCCAGGTGGACTATAAGCTCTCTCTCTCCATATATGAAAATCAAGCTTTTCGTCCTATATACCTCCATTCATCTCTTATTTTAGGGGGTTTAAATGAAGCTTTCACTAGATGGTGTTGGTGGGCTTAGCACAATTGCTATATAGTTAAGACTAAGTTGTTTTTTCATAAGATACTTCCGCTTTTTCTCTTAAAAAACTATTATTATTAGAATCCTTACTCCATCTATTAATAGTTTTCTAATTAAATAAAATAATCAGGCTGAGTGGTGATTTGTGGGGCCGAAACTTCGCCACAGTTCTTGCTGTCCATTTGTATATTATTGCTCACCCCCTCTTTTGGAGCGCCGGGCACGGCCCTCCTCCAAGCCATACGTAACTAAGCTCATACCCATGCCCAGGTGGCCAGGTGCTCAGAACTGTCCGTTACCTACTATTGTGCTGTCATAGTATCCTTAGTTTCCTCCCAGGAAACCCCTAAAGACTAGGATGACTTGAAACTGAAGGAAACTACCACACTACCTACGATGTCCGAACAAAAAATCCTCCACCAACGCTCGGCTGTGATACACTCCGAAGCAGCTCAAGGCTATGGAGACGACGGGGTTCCTCACGACTCGGACGACGAGCCTATGGTCTACGAGATTCCTGTAGACTACGCAGCTTTGACACGCCAAGATCGCGACCATCTTATCGCCGAGGGCGCCGATCCTGATTCCGTTATCCTCCAAAGCGAACTACACAATCATGTTATACGGCGAGAAGGCGAGTCTATTGACGACTATACGAAGCGTTACACCGATACTATGAACGCTATGATTCGTCGCGGCGTTTCTATTCTGAATGATCTGCTTACTGCTGATATGCTGCCATCCGGATTCGGAACTGAAGATGGGAGGTTTTTCGATTTGGGCCCGGAATCGGGCGCGACAAAGAGGGAGTATCGAGAATTTAGTCAGTGGCTCGAGGAGGTATCGGTAGCAGGACAGACGTCTGAGGTGCCGGAGAAGTGGTTGAAGTTTGAGAAGCCAGCGGGGTATTTGAATTATGACCGCGGGGATAGGCCATGATCATATTTCCTCCGTCCCAAGATCAACCTATCATGGAGTGCCGAAGGTAGTCTAGTATACAAATGTCTATTAAGTGGCCGGATCAATGCAAACGGTTATGCAGTTCTAACTCCAGTCACTCTCTAAAATGGTCGGCTCGCCCTATTCTCTTGTCTATATCAACCCTGTAACAGTCCAAGGGCGATAGCATCAAATGCTTGAGCCTCGTAGCTTTTCTCTCCGTACCTTTCCTAGTCGTGTCCGTAGAGCCATGCTCCCGACATAGGAGGTTCCTTGATCTAGTGTTTGGTGCCAGCGCTAACCCTCGCATCGCATCGACGGGACCTTGAAGAAATGACACGCGATCGAAGTGCAGGAAATGATGCACGCGTGTGGCATCGCCCGCCGGTCCACAACAAGATATTCATCAACTTCTCCGCCTAGGCGAGAATTATTTGCAGCAGTGGACGAGGCTGGACGCGGCAGGGGCGGTTGGCTGATTATGTATCCTCCCGAACTTATTATCTTATCCCGACAAGTTGTAGTACAGCTCTATATACTAAGGCGAAGGGCTAGTGGAGTTCGTAGTAGACTCCAATACTTGGGGTGGCAGCTGGAACCTCTCGACCGATAAGGCAACCTGTAGCTCTACATTGGCCGTAACTGCTACCATCTATATATGCCTATCACATACGACAGTCACGCTAAAACTCTGCTCTAAAGAAAATGCAAGCTCCTCTTTGAGTGGGACCACATCCCGATTATGGTGGAGTCTCGGTGATCTCATCGGCCTTTTCTGGATTGCTCTGATATCCGCTCGTACGTTCTACTCGTACACATCGAATTTAAACGGAGGTTCAGCATAAAGGTCGGAGCAAGATGGCTGGATAAAGTGATGATAGGACAGGCTATAATGATAGAGATACAACTAGTAATAATGGATTCTATTAGTTGATGATAACTAAGGGGAAAAGAGAGAGTAGGGGACGATAGAGGATAGCAATTATAGAAGTCCTACGGTATATAGGGTCACGTAACGTAGTATATAACTACTAGACCTAATACCCCCTTTAGGACTAACCTCCTCCTTTTAAATAGATCTCTCCCTCTCTCTCTCTCTATAAAAGTTCCCTTTCGTTTTTACTATATAGGAAAGCCTTCTTTTTTATATATTTAACTTCAACCTCTATTTTCTACAATATAATATAGTAAATTAATTAATTAAAAATAGGGAATAAATCAATTAACTAATTTACTATATTATATTGTAGAAAATAGAGGTTGAAGTTAAATATATATATGTAATCTTTCATTTGGGTGATCCCTTTTATATGGGTGGCGGACCCTCGCTTGCGGGGGTGCATATTTTTTGTAAAAAAATTACAGGGCCGGTTAGGTAGAGCGCCGAAGTAGATCTATACCGGTAGAGCTTGACAAGTCCCGCCGATTTGGTCCCGCCTTGGCGCCAAGCAGGCACCAAGGCGCTAGTCTCAGTGATGCCTTGGCATTATTATGAAGACCACCTTCCTATCTAGGTAATTATCTAGCCTAAATAGGTATGGTCGCAGCACCACAGAATTTGTTTAGTGCTGCGGGGCCGGGACTAAAAATCGGCCGGTGCTGCGGGACTTGTCAAGCTCTATGCCTTACTTGGGCCATATTCCATAACCATACTGTGTTGCCTATTTTGGTTTAGTGGCACTCTCAGCGAGAGTACGATAACCATATTTCGACATCCCAGTACTCCAGCTCATACTATGCCTGCGTGGTTCTTTACGATGACCGGATTCAACAAATCCTTTAACTGAGTTGAAGCTGGAGGTTGCATTCATCTATCAAACTTGGTTTGATGACGTTCCTAGGACCTATCCGCACAGTAGGAAAAATGTCGAGGGAAGCAAGCAGACATAAACTGCGACATTGCCCGTGGGCATTTTGAAATGGGAGGCCCATCGCCCATCATTATGCAAAATTAATGTAAAAATTACCCCATTAGGCCATTTTATGTATATAAATGGTTCTTGGAAGCCAAGAGTGCCCACGGATGTCTTGGCGACGCTAAAAATGTCTCCACTTTAATGGGCATTGTTGCAGTCTAAGCAGACATTCATGTTAGGATCACAGAAAAAGTAGTGCAATGTGCTAAATCGTTGTAAGGAACGCGGAGAAGGGTACGAACGACCCCATTCGTTACATAAAATTACTCAAATCACTCCTGGATCATCACATGGGTAGCTGGCCTTCTTAAGAAGTATGTTCTGTAGTTTCATCTAGTATCGCCCTTAACGTTAATTATGTCTATTATCTATATCAATCTGCCTCTCTTTTTTCTCAATTCAAAAGGGCTCCTTAGTCCAGAAAATGGTGGTGCAACCAACCCTGTTTGGAGATCAAATTGTCTGCCAAGGCTATAGGAAGCAACACCACGTGACATGACTACATGCGCAAAGATTGCTGCTATAGGAGGTAGCTGTTTTAAGGGGATTTAGAGAGCCAGGCCCATATTATCTGAATCGTTTGGCATGGAAGGGGCCTCAGAGTAGCCCATTATTCCACGCAAATGAGCGGCGGGCCGGTCCATAATGCTGCAAACATCTTGAGTGATGTCACCCGCAACGCCTCGTTGCAGGAGATGGATACCGACCACGACCCGGGCCGCCGTGGGCCACGGTGCACGGTCCACCTTCCGGCCACCCGGCCAGGACAACATCCAGAAGAGCTGAACCCGCATTTTCCGTAGACGAACCCAATCTGAGCCTGAATTGTACGGACGCGCTCGTCTGCGATTATTATATTTGTGGTGGGTGGCATACATAAATTAATATTAACGTATAGCAGTATAACTATGAATACTCTCACAGCTTGTACCATCAGACAAGTCCATTTCTTAATTCCTTGTTTCGGCAAGTAACAGCCTACCAACTATCCCCGTTCCATTCAGAAAATTGTGGCAGACTTCGAATAAGTCAAATGTGAATTCAAGAATTCCCACTACCTTTCGAGAAGGTGTAAGAGGATGTCAATGCACTTGCTTATCAGTTCTCTTTGTGAAGTGCGTTTTCCTGATATTTACTGTCGAAAATCCGTTTAAGACGAGCGTTACGACACTACTGACGTCAGCCCTGGAGTAAAGGGTTGAAGAGCGTCTGACAAAGCAGCAGACGACCTCTGAAGTCATATCTCGGTCGATGACAATGACTGATACGGTATATAAGAATATTGATTTCATGTAAATCACTGGTTCAATTTCTTGCGTTCAACCAGTACATTCAAAGTCTACATTTACGTGAAATTTGGCCATATCTAGTATCGACACGTCCGAACTCTCCTACCGGTGAGTATACGTAGGTATGTACCCAGACAGGGCTATCAGTAGGCGCGAAATTATAAATACCTCCTATAATTTAAATGGGCAAGAGCATGGAGGCCTAGATCTTGCGTCAAAAAAGAGGGATGTGTCATATACGGAAGCAGCCAAATATGACCGTTAATGTTACGTTCACGATATCACCAGTGGAGCTAATATTTTTCACTATACTCATGGGAGAATCATGGGCATCAGAGTCCAAACCACGGCTAAGAGCCAGTGTAAGGCACTTGCTCGATCTGCACTAGGAAAGTCAAAAGTCTCAAGATACTAATAACTTGTGATGGTACTTTCATTTTTCGCAGTTATTGCAAAGTTAACAGCCGATGAGGCCGAACACTCTGGATGCGGTATTATAGGGCTCTATAGGAAATAGATATGTTATATCTGAGTGATGAACTCATGAAAAGTGTTACACAAGCTTTCTTATTCCGGATATAGCTGCAATTACAGGTGTCATAGTACTGACGTGATGTGAGAAAAGTCATAAATCATCTGTTCATTCTCGATTTTACTCGACACATTAGGCTGTAGTTGCGTCAACATAACGGCAAAGTCAGCGTCAATGATGCGATGATACTGAGAACCTGCAATGGTAATAGAGCTGCTGGTATCCACCGAAACAGTTAAATAACGGTGCTACCTGTCCATTACTGTGAATTCTCTAAGCAATTTTTCCCTTCAGCTACAAGGATTGAGATTAAACTTTCTTACCGAGCCCAATATGTCGTTGGTCCCTGGCGTCTACAGACTCCGCACTGCTCAACCTAGTTCATCTGGTGATATGTATATGGAGCTCAAGGATGGAGCTAAGTGGAGTGGAGTTCAACTAGCGTACGAAAAGTCTAAATTTGAAAATGCTTGGACAATTTGTTGTGCTGACAGCTCTGCAGAAAACTGAAACCAACAAGCGCGGCGCAAAAATGGAACCTGAGTAAAGAGCAGGATCAATGGATTCTGGACAATGAGTCGCAAGACAACGAGGTTCTTTCCCCTCTTGGTATGCTTCAGCCCGCCTTAACTCAATTGTCTACGAATATTCTGCTAATTCGGTATCTAGCTAATAACAGTAACGGTCAGTTATTCGGCTCTGGACTCAAGTCGAAAGAAAACTCGATTCTGAGATGGAAGTTATTCCAATACGAAGGTGGTATTTGGAGGTATGTTAATGCAAACTAAATAGTTGCCTCAACTTACTTGGAATATAGGATCGAAAATGTGGCGTTCCATGACAAAGTAGTTGACCTTCAAGAAGGAATCGCGCAGCCAGGGCAACCCATCATAATTTACCCAGGGAGGGATGAGACTGTCGATAATCAGAGGTGGCATCTTGAGAAAGTGGAGGACTAGACTGTTCGAGTAAGTCCAATCAGTTTTTGCATAACTATGTCTTCACAACACACAATTGGTCTTTAGCCCTGCCATGCCTTGCCGTGCTTTTATTTCTACCTGCTCATTTTTAATCTCAATAGCATAATTGCCTGACAGCCATGGATACAGGAAGAATAGACCGGGGGGGGGGCTTTGGTCGAGGCCAGCGGGTGGCAATATCTAGTCCTTATCTCTTCGTTCTCGCCTCGTTTCTGCCCTAGTGGAGGTCTTTTTCCCCGTCTACTAACGGGGGGGGTTTTTTCCCTACTCTGTAATGTGAATGCAAGGGCAATCTTTTTAGCTAATGGATGTGAATGGAAGCTTCTCGTACGGCGTTATGTGGTTTTCGAAAACGAGAATTGTAGGCTTAGACATTGCCATTGGTCGACGGTGGCATAGAAGCTGCAAGTTCAAACCCGAGTTTATGATTGCCGTATTCCTTAGGCCAAACCGTCTTTGGTTTCCCAATAACTATGCGTTACCTTTGAGATCATTGTTGATCCTCTAGTAATACTAGTTACGTTATTATTACTAAACCTAGTATATGAATCGATATAACCTTAGGTTAATAATATCTAGTCCTAGGATAACTAATAATAATCTAGCCTTTATCCTATCTACCTCGTCGATCTACCTAGATCTATAAGCTAAGCCGTATAATACTAGAGTATCTAGCTATATACTATATAAACCTTAATCTATCTAAAATGGTACTTTTTATAAATAAGATAAATAATATTATCCTTTTAGTCTTTAAAGTAGATTAACGTTCGGATAAACAGAATCTAGATTAAGGTTATCTCTAAATTACATAGTATCCTAGACTACTCTTAGGTCGAATATAGGCCTTACCGGTATAATAGGTACGTCGATATATAAGATCTATATTGATTAACGTAGATTTACTAACCCTAGCTACTAAAACGTATAATTTATCGTCCTTAGCTAAGCTAGTTAATTCGGTAAGGGTTAAAAATAATAATCTTATAAGGTAATTAGCCTCTATTAAGCTCCTAAGATAGCTAATATATATATTTTAAAAGGTATATAGCTAGTACTAATTATTACTAACTATTATATAGCCCTTAACCTTATTAGAGACTATCGATCTTAGTTTAGTATAATCTTTAAAGAACGAGATCTCTATAGATCTATTAGTAGCGAGTTATCTTATTCAACCCCCTTAGACACTACTAAAAAAATAAATGGCTGTCCAACTCTCAGTCTTGGATACATTTTTTACATAAAACTTAATACAGAGTCTCTTTGGTCCATTACACTCTATACCGAAGAAGGTAGGCAAATTTGTTGATAGCCCTCATATCCAAGTCAAGCCTTAGAAAGAAAGGTTCAGCGCAGACCTCAAACATCCTCAATATCAAAACTAATATTCAGTTTGTGAAGCTCGAGGCCTCTTTGGAAAGTAACAATCCGGGAAACCCGTTTCACCCCTTGGCCAAACGCACCCAGAATGAAGGACCCGATAACCTTACCGATAGGTGTACCCATGATAGCCTTAAACTCCGGTGTAGCGTAGTCCCAAGTTTGAGCCTCTGCAGACGGATAGATAAGTCCCTTACGGGAGGGATATATATCTTCCTCGATAAAGGGTTCAGTTTTATTTTCCTGTACCTCGTTAACAATTACATGCTTCACACTCTCCAACGGAAAGTGCGTTTCATAGGCGATCTTGGCAAGCTCGGACACGTGCGGATCGTTCGATGCAGGGCGTCTTCTAATAGAATAGATAAAAAGCAAGCCTGGTCCAATGGTCCCGACCAAGCCAGTGACCCCACCCCGGGTCTTGATGATTGACTGCCGTAGACACGGGGATTCTGTAGGATACATGCCATTTGGAATTAGTTGTCCGAGTGGCAGCCCAGCACCAACAATACAGGCAATCTGTTCTGGTGAGAGCCATTCTCTTTCATGCTCGATATGCCAGAGGGTAGGCTGTGGCAGAGTCCATGTGGTGAATGTAGATCTGAGAACTGGGCATCCGGGTTCGGTGGCATTTTCCATCCATCGGATTAGCTTATCCCCGTATGGCTCGAACTGGGGATACTTAAAAGCCATTATAGGATATAGTGCGTTCCACAATCGGAGTAGTCAACCAGGGCCCTCAGCCAGAGTTATATACTCGACTGAGCGGATATATCCACGTGAAACAACAAAGCAACCCCCACAATGGCATTATGGAGCACATTGGATTGAATAAACTGTCAAAGACTCAAAAGGTCAAAGAATCAAAGATTACGAAGATATTATACCTGGAGACCCTTAGCTTTGTCATGGACAAAGCAAACAGTCCCGCTGCAATGGTAGAATCTGGCTTCGAAATCAAACGTAGGGTTTGCCATTGCTGGGGGTTTATATCAGATCACAGATTAGGAGGTAGTGCTAGGCGCCAATATATTGCCATGGGATTGAGGGTAGAGAAACCACAGGAGTCTGACAACAGTGTCGACCAGAACAGTGGGTGTATGGTGTTCAAGGTCGCGTGTGCAGGTTTATGATAACAAGTCGATCAGGGCAACCCGCCATGAGTCGACGAGCGCCTATAAAAAACAGGACATAAGAAGTCAAGCGTTATTATTCGTCCATCGGGGTTTCCTTGTCGCAGGTCACTGGAATCGTTGAGACTTTGCATAGGTCAGGAGGATTACCTAGGTACGTTTTCGACACATCTGATCTTAATCCTATCACAATCCACCGAATCAGGTAATTTACCTTCCAGATCAGGAAAGTCGACAAACAATAGGGACAAACAATAGGTCGACGTGATCTTCAGGGTCTAACAATAGCAAACATAGGACTATTTAAACGCGCGTTATCCCGCGCAGTCCTCACTTTCTTTCTTTCTTTCTTTCTTTCTTTCTTCATTCATCGCACCATGGCTCCCACTACCCTTTCTGCTTTGTGGCACCTCGACACCCCCAAACGGGTTTCGGGCTACTTCAGAAGCCCTTCACGTGAACCCCTTAAACTACAGAACTTCATCGAGAACCATTTTCTTGATTACGAGCACACTTCGGAATGGATTGACTCATTTGCCCCTCGTTCGGGCAAACTCCTTGCAAAGGTTCCGCGGAGTCCTGCAAACGTCGTTGAATACGCCGTCAATGTCGCATCTCGGGCTTTCCCAGCATGGTCTCACACCACAGCTGAGTATCGGTCCGAAATTCTCCTCCGCATTGCGTCTATTATGGAGCAGAAGAAAGAACTGTTTGTGTTGTGGGAAAACTCCGACCATGGCAAGCCTGTCTTTCGGGCTCGGGTCGAAGTGGAGCGTTCTATTGAACAGTTCCGGTTCGTCGATTGTTCATTTTAATTCTACATATGAGATGATCTAACGTTTTTCTTCTTGATAGCTACTTCGCCAACTACATTCTTGAGAACGACAGTGCGGTGCATCTCAACAAAGACCTAGGAGCGTCTACTCTGACCTACGAGCACCGAGTGCCAGTGGGTATTTACGCCATCGTGACTTCGTGGAACATGCCACTTTACCTTTTGGCCTCGAAGATTGCCCCCTGCCTTGCATTCGGTTGCACTGGTGTGGCCAAGCCCAGCGAATTGGCTAGCGTCACTGCTTTTTGTAAGTGATTATCTCATTTGATGTACATATGTGAATACACTAACCCTGAAGAAAGTGTTCAGCGAAGTCCTTCGACGTGCAGAGCTACCACCTGGTGTTATGAACATCGTTCTCGGAGATGGAGCCGGCACTGGTTCGACCCTTGTTAGCTCGCCGCTTATTCAGGGGGTTTCATTCACTGGAGGTGTCAAGGCAGGCATTCAGATTCGAGAGAAGACTGCCCCCGACATTCACAAGCAGTTGTTTCTCGAGATCAAAGGCAGTTGCCCTACTGTTGTCTTTGGCGATGCCAATATGGATGTGGCAGCTGCTACTGCAGCTTCCGCGGTGTTTGAGAATAGTGGCCAACTCTGTCTCAGCGGTTCTCGTATCTACGTCCACCGATCGGTTTACGAAGTGTTTCTGCCACGGCTTATCCGATACATCCATTTGAATTACGGCGTGCACATAGGACTTGGTCCAGTTATTTCTCCAGAGTATTATGCCAAGATCCGATCTTACCTCGTGGAGGCTAGTGAACAACCTGCCAATATCAAGTTTGAGACCGGCGATGTTCCCGCTGAAGTTCCACAAGATGGTTTCTGGATCCATCCAACCATCCTGAGAGGCGTTCGCACCCATGGTCCCGTGGAACGGGAAATCTTCGGACCTGTGGCGACTGTTTATCAATTTGATCGGGAGGAGGAAGTCATCAGACTGTGCAACGACAATCCTAATGGAATGGGCGCTGTTATCTTGACTGATGATATGGCCCGGATGAGCCGAGTCGGAAAGCATCTCGACGCAAGCGTTGTGTGGGCGGACTGCTGGCTTGGTCGTGACCTCGGGGCCGGCCTCACCGACTTGAGGGCGACTGGCAGTGGCCAAGAAGGAGGTACACGCGGTCGCGATATGTTCACACGTTTGCGCGCAGTGCATGTTCCGTCTTACTAACTGGAGAACGTGGATACCGCACTCACGAAGGAAGTTCCAGATTCAGAGGAGGATGGAAGTGTGATATCGGTCGAGGATTGCTTTAGGGACAACGGTGGTTTTTGTACATAGCAACCTCGCGAGAATTCGTGCTTTATGGATAACTAACAGATGTGGGAATGTTCTAACCTCGACAGGTTGACTCGAAAAGACATCCATGCGGTGAGGCATGGACAGGTCTTTACGATTTCAGCCTAAATTAGCAGCCGAGGAATACACGCATATTACTTGCTACGATCAGCCCGCGCGGGCTGTGGACAACAACATCCCGCGCGGGCTACAGCCGAAATACATCCAGTCATCTGAAGCAGATGATCACTGGTAAGTACCAGGACCTGTTTTTCTCTCCGTTTTCTGCTGCTTCTGTCGTGGAACAAATCCCATTGTCCCTCGTTCCTTGTCTGAAACAAAGCACTTTACCGGATGAAGATAAAGAAGTCTTCCCACTCCAGGTGAGCTTGATTCATATCCCACTGATTCATCCGCATTTTGAAACTGCCCTTTTCAAGAACTAGTGATTTCTTTCTCCCTTTTCATATGCTAGCAGGTTTATACTCACTTGATTTAGGATCATGATGTGTTATCTTGCCGTGAACTCCGGTCCGGAGACCCTCTCTGGTGGCTTCTAGTTATATTGCCTTGAGTCAAGAGGGTATTACCACGTGCAAAGTTGTTAGCGAGGCTGACCTTCTTCCTCGGGTTACTAATGACCACCAGGACCCCTCCACCGCAACCAGTGAACTCTCAATTGAGCTTACACCACAAAGCTCACACACCGGGACTCCTAAAGTGTCTTCCTCTCCAGAGGTCGATGTTACAGAAGGGGAAAATCAAGATAGCGTGGAAGAAGATAGTCTAGCCGAGGTTGCCAGTGGTGTTAGTGAGGTATGTCACTCTCCGCTTGCAGATGAGCTCTTTGCTGCGAGCCCGGCCGCGCTTCCTTTGGTTGAGTGTGCTCTTCTTGCTCGTATTTCTCAGATGGCTGTCAATATTTGTTCCTTGGAGGGAGACTTGGAGGCCTTGAGGGTACGCCGGAGGCAGCTTTCTACTTTGCGGGTTGTTTCTGGCAGCTCTCGATCAACCTGTTGGTCTGCAGGAATTACTCCTCCGGAATCGAAAGTTTAGATACGTAGATTTTGATTATGGTTCGTACCTGAGATGATGGGACACGATACTGAGGTGATTTGTTGAGTCCGGTTCTTATTTAGTCGGGTTACAAGGTTGGAAAGACACGCTCTCCTTCACTCTATTTAACCCCCGTCTTCATTCAAGTTAGCAAATTACTATCGTGGCACTGCACTTCATATATTCTTCCTATATATACCTTGCTTTCACAACTAGAGGGTTCTTGTTCTAAACTTGGCAATTAAGAATCATACTAAAGTATTAATGATAGACTGCGTCTATTATTATAGCAGGTATTGTTATATCTCACCCCTGGCTTCAGGAATGATATGATCTATAACTTAGAATAGTATTGTTCCAACAAAGGAGTTTTTGTTTGGCTTCGTATTCCCTCGAGCCCTTTGTGGATGTATTTCTGTACTCTTTGTCGCGGGTCTCTACTCTCTTTGTACTAAATCGCCTCATTCTCTGGTATCTTTATGGCTCGCTCTGGCTCTTGGGTGTCCTATTTCCGTCGAGGACTTGTCTGCTCCTTCTTTTAATAGCCCCCATTCAGCTAATTAAGACGGCCAACTCACCAGGACTATATAATTATAGGGATTCTCCTTTCCTCGTCACAAGTATTAACTCCAGATAAAACTATTACAAGACGCAATTGACTACAACCAAAGTTCCCGCTCTTTTCCACACAACATAAGACAAAACAAAGCTCAGACTAAAAATGGCAGATAACCCATCAGCAGGGCTCCGCAAACGTGGACTCAACGAGGAGGATGACTGTAGCTCTCCTCGCTCCCCAATTCGGCGGCGTCTGACCTCTAAATCCGCAGAACCCGCAGAACCTGCAGAATCGTCAGAATCCCCTCCCCCTTATCCCATTCCCGATGACAACAGTGTATCTAGTGATGGAAAGATACCCCCTACGCCCCGTAACAGTATAAGTGATGATGACAGACCCGCGGTGTCGGAGGAACAAGTCGACAAATATTACCGAAAGGGAGCTGCATACGAAGCATGGATTGCTGACCCAACTCGAGGTGGATGTCCATGTGGAAAATCAGAAGATACACTGTTCGAACTATTCAACAACAGCAATAAGAAGAAGAGATTTAATTGTCCAGAGAACCATTTCGATAACCCACCCCGACCCATCCAGGAGGATTTGGAACAATTGGGGTTCCCAACAAAAGGCAAAAGGTGCCGTTTCACAAGATTAATACTCCACGGTTATGACAAGGATGGCTACAAAAGGGAAAGCGAGTATCAACATTCCTTCGCAGAAGGCGTTATAATTGGTGAATGTATTTACAGATACACTGGGCCGAATTGGTCGAATATAGCTATCGCTCAATATAAGTTTGACCACCCCATTGATACCCTCAAATATCTTTATTTTACTAATGTTCAGAATGAGGAGACCCTACCCTACATGCAAGAAATCCTCTACCCCAGACATGACGTGAAGTGGCCCTGTGTTGATCGAATTGAGAGTCAGGTATGGGAGTATGGTACTGAGGACTATCGAGAGATCCTAGGTACGAAGCTAGGCAAGTCAGCGGCATGCCTTGTTCTTGGTGCATGGGAGAGAGGTACGCATCGTATTGCTAGAGTTTACACTCTCGGTCGTGCACATCATATACACCTACGGTTTGATATTGAGCCGATTCCTGTATCTGGAACTCTTTAATCCCACTCCATAGGTATAGACGGGTCTCATGCACATCGTTTGTGTCTGTGAATAGATACCCCTTTGCCCTGATGACCCTTGGTAAGTGTCAAATTGATGGTTTGACATAGCGGTGTTCAGCGAATGCAAGTCACTCTATGCAGTGAGTTGATGTCCACAAGTAGAAAGTTCTTTTACAATGATACTATATGATTTTCACAAATATTTTCTCAAGTTCCACCATTTCCAAATCGAGGAAGGGCGTAAACCGTTGGGTATTCTTATACGTCATAATTAGATACATCCATGTACAAACGTCTACTAATTTATTTTAGGCGGTGGCTTAGTGACGAAGCCGCAGAGGGACTGGAACTTCTTTTCTACATCTCATCTCATGTTCCTTCTGCTTTGATATCATTGTACTGAGGATTCATTTTATACCTAGTCTCTCCCATCACAGAGGTATAAACCACCCGTGACCAGAATCGATCTTACCTTATGCTCATACTAACCTTGGTGACTTTCCACACACGATAGGATGATGGGGTTCTCCGATAGGCCTACGCCTACAACCCTTACCTTCGACAGAGATGATAAAGACTATCTGAATTACGGGTCACACTGCGTCCTTCTGTCGAAACTGACCGAGTTCTTTCTTGCTGAGCAAGCTCTACGTGAACTAACCCAGCGTGAGGAATGGCTATACCAGAAGGTTATAGCCTTAGAAAAGGCTATAGCTATCGAATCTAGTGGAAAGTCTGATACGACCCAATTTAAAAACGCAAATAAACAGCTTAAGGAGACTTAAGCGCAATATCCAAGAAAGGAATACGCCCTATATTAAGCAGAGTATAGGTTTCACTAGAAGTTCAAGAACGCCCTTGATACCTTAAGGCGTGATTCTAAATGGTTTATGCGCGAAGAAATGGTTTAGGATTGTTTCGATCGAGGTGGATGTTGTAGCCGGGAATGTGGATGCTGTGAACGGAGGCATCTATCTAAAAGGAAGAAAGGCAGAGGCCATTACACTAGAGTGCGGGTGCTGTCTTAGCTTTCGAGGTTTTGAGCTCCCAGGTCAACAAAAAAAGGAGATGAGGTTCGATTTCGAAACTATGCTGGAAGAATTTCAGCCGGCCTACGCTATACACTTGGCAAATTGCTTTTCTTGCCCATTGGAATTAGAACCCCAGGTGTCTTGGTGGCAGCGAACTTTTAAAAGGAGTTCTACTCATGAGAAACATTGAAAACCCCCTGCTCGCTAGCGGCAATGGCTGGTTTGAGATACTTGGTGGGGTTTGATTGAGTCTATGGATGATCTTCGGGTTAGTGAAGTTCCAAATTGTCAAATTACGGGATAGCTTTTGTATGGACCATGCGGTGGTGTATGCGGAGATTACTATAAAGTTATTATTTCACCAATTTTTACTATCAACAAACTCCAATTAATTATCTACCTTGCTCATCTACTGAATACGAATTTTCATCTGACACATCACCATCTTGCCGGCTTGGAAGGGGTGGAAGCGACGATGTCGGGGAAAGAGACGCCCATGATGGCGACCTGATTGGGAGGTTCAAGCCAAGGCCTTGAACCCCCGCAGGACCGAATCGGGGTGTCGAGCCTGGAAACGTGCCTTTCACGGAAGACTGGGAGTTGGATCGCAGACCAACCCGGGAAATTGCGCGCCGGAGCATCTCGCCTGAAGCATCCAGGGCAATAAGGAAGCGGGCGAGCTCAGCACACAGCTCCCAGTCTCCCTTCTGGGAGGCGAGAGCAATCAAACGAACAACGTATTCTTCGATGCGGCCATCATGCCCTTCTTCCTCATCCTCAAATGCCTGCAGTACAAGGAGGTATCCAACTGCAGTTTTGAGAGAGTCAAGTTTCAAGGCCTGCTCAAATAGATCCTTGGGTGGGGGTAGGTAGGTGAAGAGTGTGCGCCACGATCGAAGTTCTGTTTTCCGTGTACATTGTACAACAATCTCAAGGTAATCTCTGGGAGGAAGCGAGGCTTGGAGGAAAGCAATTACGGTTGGGAGTAGTGGTTCTGCTCGTGCTTGTGGGTCCTCGCTTTTATTTGCTCGGCTCTCATTATCCACTTCGTCATCCAGCACGTGGTGAAGTAAGATTTCCAATCCATGAGCGAAGTAAGACAAGTGAGAAAAGTGGCGACAGAGAGCGAGAGCCGCAGGTATCCCAATATTGGTCAGGCCATATTGGAGGAAATATGGTAAGAAAAGGTGTGTCTGAGGCACACAGGTCAGTACAAGATGTTATCGATAGAGAAAGTAACTTACTCGGATGGCGAATTTCAAAACAGTGAATGTCACATCGCGTCGTTGCATCATTTCAGATTCAACGCCAAGCACAATGCCTTTGTTCAATAAGACAGACAGTGGATAGAAGTCCAGGGGGATGTTGAGTGGTGCCGGCACCAGCTCCTCCCGCAAAACATCGTGAACATCGTTCCAAGCTAGCAAGTTTTGGCCCCGGAACATCCAAAGAGAATCCCGGAGCGAGAGACTCCTATGAGGTGGCTCTAGTGCCATATCAACTGAAGGACTTGCGGGTAGGGATTCATCAACCAGCGAGGAAAAGTTGAAAGAAATCTGGTCGCGCATCAAGATGTAATACTCGACATCATGGGATATGACGCGCATGTCGTATTTGAGGTCCCCCGCATCTGAGACTGTGGGCTGCAGCAATACCAAATTGCCGTCCACAAGAAGAAGGACGGATGCGACCTTCACGTCTTGAGATGGATCACCGTTTTCTGCTTTATTGTCAATTATGTGTTCAGATCACGCATGAAAGAAAGCTAGCTCACGCATCTGCTCCTCTGGCAACACCCAACTGATCGATCGAACGCGAGAGAGGGTGCCCGAACAATCCCATTGAAAGCGATCTGTCCAACAGGGACAATTGTGATCCGATGCTGTGTCGAATTAATGATATAATGGTACAGAATGTTGTCGTATGTATAAACCAAGAGAGAATCTTCCCCAGATGGTCCAATGAACACAACTGGTGATGGGAGGTATTCGATGAACATGATCGAATTGTTACCGAGAGAAGATTCGCGCGAGTAAAGACGAATCTTTCAATCCAAGTCAGTCGTGCATGGAACCAACGCAAGTGGGAGAAATATCGTACCTCGTATGACCCGTCACTCTCTACCGCTGCGATCAGTATGTGGCCGTACCAACACATGCCTCCTCGCACAGCAAAGGAGTTTTCGGCTTTTGAGTCCTCGAATACCTTCCACCGGCCACTGGTGACACTGTAATGTGCAAGGCCACGGCGGCCTGCAATTGCAACATACCGTCCATCTTGAGACACGACGCAAGATCGAATCGGCCACTGGGAATGAAGATATGCTGGAGGATACTGGGCATGATGCCACAATGAATCCTTTCCTGAGATTGTCATGAGATCTGGAAGATCGTGACCGCGGTAGAGGATAAACTCAGTACTGGTCTGCAGCAGGCCTCTAGCCAAGTTTGCAGACGAAAAGCAACCAGTCAAAGCACTGCGAGCTGTCTCCAGAACCCACAAGCGACGGTCATTTTGTCCAGACAGAATGATATCCGACCCGCGACCAATCCAACACCCGTCTGACACCCCAGTTAACCAATCTTCCGAATTGGCTGTTGCCAACGCGGTGTCCACCGAAAAGCTGTTTCCTCCAGGCTTCCCAAATACACTCCATGTTGTCCAACCATTTTCGAATCCAGCAAAGAGACAATATCCATCCGGGGAATAGCTCATAAAAGTCAAAGCCCCGGTGGTTGTGGGCGATGCTGGTAAGTGGAGCTTTTGTGAAAGTGGAATGTTCCCCATGTAATCTTTTGCGGTGTAAACCAAGACTTCACCATTTGAACAGCTCACAGTCAGCAGAGAGAAGCGTGCATTTACGGTCACCTTCACGGCGTTTTCGCTGTCATCCTTTGGATTATGGAAGCAGTGTCCGTGGAATAGTTTCTTGGCTGCTTCAGGATCCTGCTGTGAGCCCGTATCTCGTTGCACAGCATATGCCTGGCCACTGCTGGTGATCCAGATGAGGAGATTCATCGCACGATCGTAAACCATGTCCACGATCGAGACCTTCTTCGAGATCCCTAGTATGCGACTCAATAGCTCAGATGTGGTTTGTGCTCCTCCAGCCGCAGGCGTCCACCGAATGCATTGTATAGCTGGTGGTTTCACAGTGGCGACAACAAGTTCTTGATCTAGCGCCAGCGCCTTGACGATTCCCGACTCGATTTTGATGGCCATTCGGAAGCGAATGCTGATATCCCCAACAACATTGGCCTCTTCAACTGCGGAAAATCGGGCCAATTGTTGGCGACGTGGGTGTGTAGAGTGATCGAATCGCTGCTGGTAAACTTGAGTTTTTGAGTCCAGCGCCACCGAGTATGTGAGTAGGTACCCATTGAGGGTGTGTACAACCAGAATCGTGGAATCCGGGTGCATAAGGATTGAAACGTTCGGGCCATACGTTTTTAACGAGAATCGAGATCGAGAGATAGCCGTAACTACCGCTGTAGGCTGCCAGAATTGTCAGTCGCCAGCTCAGACTTCCCATGAACCATAACGTCGCTGTCGACATACCCGAGTCTGCCAAAGAGCAATTGATGACTCTGACATTGTGGCAAACATCTGACCAGATCGAGATACACAGATTCCCTTGATAGATTCATTTCCCCATGCTGATTTGCCGGTGTCCGTGGGCGAGTTGTTTTGCGACTCATGGGCCTGGGTGTCTGCGGACTCATGCTGACCGTCCTCCCCTCTTGCTTCCGCTATATCGTCAAACGTACTGCGCTCATTGGTTGGAGTGGTGTTGAGGATTTCGCGATCCTCATCAGAAGAGACATAGGCAATATCGGGTCCATTGACCGCGTAGACCCTGGGAACTCCATGAGGCCAGTACATGGCTCAGGTCAGGTTCAGGGGTTAAGATGGACAATGAAGCTCACATGGAGTCATCTCCAAGGAACCAATTCTCCGTCAGCAAAGC